TAATGTTTTTGGACCCGTGCTTTACTGGGAGCGCAGTTTCTTGGCAATGATTTTGTTCGGGATACGAGTAGGGAAATAAATAGCTACATATGGTGTGAAATTCCTTAGGCTTATTGAAAGGCCCCTTCCGACGGTTTGGCGCCTCATCGTGGCTGGGAGGTGTTCCTGGGTGTCGGGCTGTGATGTACGGCGGGAGGATTCATTTCTCCGGTAGGGTCTCCCAAACTGAGAAGGAGTCCTTCGTTTCCATCGTGAAACCCAGCTAAGAGTTAACCAATACCAGGATTCAACACCCATCTGGTATCAAACTAGTGGCATGGTGGCAAATCTCCCTTTAATTCACAACAGCGGTGACTGCCAGTGGTGGTGACGGCCTGGGGCAGCGTTTGGCCTGGTAGGCGTCGGAACTCTAGAAATCCACAATGGCTAAACCAGCTTAAGTCCGAGAAAATGGGAATCATGCTGGGGCCCGCACGACCAGTGAGGACGGGCCGTCCATCTATCCAAGTGTAGAAGTATTGAAGGGCCTATGGGTTGTTATATTGTACCGTTTTGATCTTATCGCTTGTACTGCTTTTACTAGTAGATATTCGAGCAAGATAAGTAGAATGTCATTATGTCTTCATCATTTGGTACATCTTTTAATCGCTTTGTCCTCCAGCTTACGCCTACCTCCATAACGATGGTTAAGTATTGCTTTAGCTAGTTCCATGCATATGTGCAATGTTTTCACATTTGGAATAACCTTTGCTCTTTTTCTATGGATACGAACCTCGTGTGTTGTTGGTTAGCCTTAGAAAGAAGAACTGTTCCCCCTGCTTTGTGTGAAATTCTATTCAATCTACACAAGCTTTGTTGTGAGCTTTGTCGTGGTGATTGTTCAGCGAGCATTCCGTTGAAAGAAATTTCCATGTCGGGCAGTTTTCTGTTGTCCTGACAAGTCAAGCTTCGGGCTTGTTCTGTGGAAGATCCTTTTCCTATATGCTCTTATCTATTTGTATAACCTCTAACTATCCGTTTTGATGATGCATCTATGCGATATTATGGAGATTTAACTGGTTTAAAAGTAATAGTAAACCACTACTATCAGTTGGATACTTGGATGGCCCGTCTTCACTGGTTTTGCAGATCCCAGCATAATCTCCACTTTTCGGAGTTTTGCTCGTTTATCCATCGTGATTCCCTGCAGTCCCGAGGTCAGCCTTGCCAAAGTCTGCCGCAGGTCGTTAACATTACAAGCACAAGCTGTCGCCTCCCTTGTGGATCAGTGGGAGAGTTGCAGCCATGCGACTAGTTTGATACCTGGATGGTGATGGATATTGCTATTGGTTTACTGTAGCGGGGTTCTGGATGCTGGAGTTCTCACCTTGGGAGATGCTGATGGTGGATGAAGCCCTCGCTGTATTTCGCCGTCCGACACCCAGGAACACCTTTCAGCCACGATAAGCCGGTAAACCATTGGGAGGAACCACTGCTGTTTGGAAAGAGAATTTCTTTTCAGTGAAAGTATTTTTTCAGTAGGCTGAGTTCGAATCTCTTACGAGACATGCTCTCTTAAGTGTAGAAGTTGTGATTGCTTATCTTATTCACATCTAGCATGTTCTAAACATTCACCGTATTCAGAGCCTTCGTTCAAAGTTTTCCAAGATTTTATAGAATGCCATGTAATCCGGAGAAGGTCGGCAACTCGGACAATGAGGTTCAGTTGCAGCCGGTGAGTTATGGTTTTTTTTGTTGTAATTAGTCATATGGTTCCAAAGCATGATTCCGCAGAGTTGTTTTCCATTAGAATGCACTGTTCATTTAGGACTCTACAACGGAATTACAGTGTGGCAGCCACCATACAAAAACGATCACAGGAGCACCAGTTCCAAAAAGTTCTCTTTTCTCAGAATTTATTTCCATTTTCCACTGAACATTATGACCTTATTAACTTAAGCCTACATTCGCATGCCGAAGAGGGGCTTCCCACCAAATCCCATGCCTGAGAACCATGTCCGGGTACGTTTTCTACTGAGCATTCGTCTTGTTGAACCTTTATTTTGTGAAAGCAAGTTGGTGCGTAAACAACACCACGTTTTTATAGCTGGACCAGATCACAGATGAACTGTATGATAAGTTTTGCAAAGAGGTCTTGGACGAAGCACCACAGAAGTGTACTCCCAGAGAGCGGAAACTACTTGACAACATGTGCTCTTCAGGAAACTTTGGGGTTAGTTGCTGAATCCCTATAGGTTTTCTCGCAGCTCACAAGTTTATGTCAGGCAGCCGTGGATTTTTACGATGAAATCATGGGCGAGCTTCCGGTTGTGATGGTACATATGCGCACATCGAAAGTGTTTTTGTCTCCTTCATTAAGGTGGTATATTTTATTGTAGAACTATGAACTTTTGGTGGAAGTTATTTGAAGTAGCGCGATTCTAGGCAAAAGTGTATTGAAAAAGTGATCGCTTTCAAGAAATCCGATCCTAACCCAATTTGTGCTGCTCTTCGTCATATTCAACAACTTTTCGTAGGGTTTCCTCCTGAGATTCGGGTTTGTTTTCACGTATATCACGCATTTTTCTGAGTTTTCCGCAAAAGAAGTTGCAAAAATAGTTTCTCATATATTCGTCCATAAGGACGTTATGGAACGTAATAGTGCAAAATACGTATTTGGATAACTGTATGGCTCGTCCTCACTGGTTGTGCAGACTCCAGCGTAATCTCCATTTTTCGGAGTTTTGCTGCTTTAACCATTGTGTTATCTCTGGAGTGTCTCTGGAGTGCCGAGGTCAGCCTGGCCAAACTCTGCCACGGTCGTCACCATCACAGATAGTCGTAGCCCTCGTAGGTCAGAGAGAGATGTGCCACCATGCAACTAGTTTCAGACCAGAAGGGTGGTGGATTCTGGTATTGGTTCACTCTTAGCTAGGTTTCCTGCTGGAAACGCCGGCCTCCTCAGCTTGGGAGATCCTGCGGGGTTGGGGGAGATGTGGTGATGAGTCCGCCGCTTTGCACCGCAGCCCGACACCCAGGAACACCTCCGAGCCATGGTGAGACGGTAAACCGTTGGGAGAATAGTGCAAAGTTCGACCGATATCTAAAGTTTTCGTCTTCTACTTTCCTATATATAAACTCAGAGTTGAAAATGAGAATATTTTACGTTCCACTGAACCTTTGAAAAAATTACAGCTGCGTCACATGTTAGTAGCTGAACTAGAGAAACAAGAACCTGGCATGTTATCCGAAGATGATAAACGACTAATGACCCTTCCTCCTTCTGCAAGGTTCAGTGTTCGAACGGTCTGATATCCTTTCTTTCCTATTTTTTCATTACGTCGTAGAAATATCATTATTTAAGAAGATAGTCACATAATTCACTCATACATTTTAAGGGCTCAGTGCTTCGTCGTTACACTGTGAAAAATGGCAGACAACAGGCATCTAAGGAAGTTACCCCAAAAAGGACTTCTGCAAGGTTACTATTTTCACTTTTCCTCGTTGCCATTTATTGGTTATTATCTTCTGGTGTAGAGCACTGAAATAATTAAGGTCTTCTTCCCTGGTGAGGTTACATTTGCAGGATTTCTAAGTCCAGAGAGGTGACAGCAGTCGATTCGAAAAGCGGTATCATTAATATAAATGCGACGGCAAGTTCACCACTACTTGCGACGAAAGCTGTGTCTAAATCAAAACGTAAATGGGAACGAGTTTACCTCACTACACGTGTTATTTGTTTATTTTTTTTCTTGTGATTTTAGCTATGAATGTGAATTTGTTGGTCCCACTCGATGATCACATTTATGACAAAATTGCGGAAGTTCTGGCTGAGAGATGTTCTTTGGAAAGTGTGAGTTTTATCTTATGAATGTAGGATTTAGTGGGCGCTGAAGGTGTGCGCATTTGTTTTAACTTTCTCTCTTTCCCTTTTGAATATAGTGATAGCGAAATGTTTCAGATCCAGGACGACTCATTACGATTAGCAATTGAAGCCATAAGAGCCAGTGAAGAGATTATGGTGGAGGATTGGTTGGAAGAGCAGTTTTTTTGCCCACCAGGTCTGAGATTGCGGGTAAACGACGAGTTTGGAAGAATACTCTTGCGAAAAAGTGAGGTTGCAGCGGTACGTTACGATGGTGTGAAAACTGTCATTTTAAACCGACTTTCATTTGACCTTGGTATAAATAATCAATGTACATAGTTTTATTGACAAACTAACACAAGGTTGTTACCAATATTTATTCAGCTAATGTTTCGACGTCTTGTCTTCCTCAGAGCTGTTGATCCGAGTCCATGTCCACAAGAGATGTGTGAGGAAGACGAAGATGTCGAAACGTTAACCGAGTAAGTATTGGTAACAACCTCGTGTTAGCTTATCAATAAAGCTAGGTGTGGGTACTGTGCTATTTCTGTTTATCCGCTTTCTTTTACATTTTTATCTAGGTTTGGCGTATGTGCTATGCAACACTGCATGAACGTTCGCAAAGTGAAATTTTGAGCGCGATTGAGGATCAGTACGTAGGAATAGCAACAAAAGCCAATGTAAGCGTCTAGTAAGGGTGATGTTGCTTAAAGTCGTAGAGCCGACTTTAAAAAGATTACTTATGTATTTCTATATATATTCGGCAGTATATCGTTGTTTTTATATGCTGTTTAGATAAGAGAGGTCTCCAAATATGATTTACTGAAAGGCGCTCGCGTTGTTTTCCCTGCTCCACCGCGATGTATAGGAAGAAAGCCGATGCAATATGTTCAGGTGTTACCACTTGTTTCTTAGAGGGTTTTCTGTGGAATTTCCGTAACGTTGTGTTTATTGTGGTGTGATGGTGAACGCGTTAGCCTCTGAAAAAAGTAATAGCGTGTTCATTGCCCATCGCAAACACCAGCGGTCCGAGTTTTTGTAGATATTTTGGCATCGTTATCGTTTTATTTAACATTGTATTTCATTCATCTGCACTTGCGTTATGGTGATGTCTTCTTCCATTCTATTTCCGCTACTGCAGATCGACATACTTGTTATGGAGGAAACTACGTATGGCGAGCGTTTATACAGTCAAGCATTGTTTCTCACCGATTTGTATTCCGGTTACTCTTTTGCACGTGCTCTCACAGAAAGCCCTGATTTGGCCATTATTGTTCGCCACGTAATGGATATCTTTGGATCTTTTGGACCACCAGGTTAGCAAAGGTTTCACATAAGCACAAATCATATTGGATTCTTCAATGTTCTTTTTTTTTGTTTGGCTAATTATCGTATTCTAGAGGCTTACAGAACATTCACACTGGAATATTCTTCAGTGATAGCAGATGTCATGTTAGATATTGAGCGAATGTTCAAGATTGCCATCAAGAATATGGGGGTGGGAGTAAGTGGCTTTGGATCATTTTCATCTTGTTTGGAAACAATGGAGCAATTTTGTAGGCTTACCTTTTATTTTTGCGTTTTTAATATTGTCAGGTTACTCGAAAATCTTCGCAGATTTCTAACATTTTGAGTTTTTGTATTTCACTATGTTCAATTTTTTTACGGGAACCGGAACAACCAGATTCTAAGCATTTTCGCCAACAGGTTGCAACGTTATTTTACCTGCTTTTTTAACGTTATAAGCTCCAGGACCCGAATGTTCTGAAGGGATTTTCAGCACTTCACTTTCTGTTAGAGATTTTTTCAGCAACTTAGTGGATTCTTGTGAATACTTTAGTGACTCCACTGGATGGTACAAAGCTTTCCCAACTCTTCCACTTCTTGCACTTCATGTTACTTGAAATACGATCCATTCAATGGTGCTGAGATATTTGCAAAATTACGGACCGCAGGTGTCTGTGGTGATGAACGGACGCGCTATTGTCCTTTTCGGGAAGTAACGCGTTCACCACCACACCATGCGGGTCCTTCGTTTTGCCTGTCTCTCAGTTAGTTCTACCGATCTCTGCCATCAGCAATCATCTGTCAGCGGGATTAATCTGGGGAGCCTAAATCAACAACTACCCATTGTATTTTTAATTATCTTTTAATTACTTTGTTCACTTGGAATTTTTTTTCAATGAAGAGGATAATCCATGACCATCAACAGTCTGTAACCGTGGCCTCAACTTAACTAGGTTCAATGCTAATTCGGGCTCCCCAGATCAATCCAGTTGACAGATGATTGCTGATGGCAGAGATCGGTAGAACTAACTGAGAGATAGGCAAAACGAAGGACCCGCATGGTGTGATGGTGAACGCGTTACTTCCCGAAAAGGACAATAGCGCGTCCGTTCCCCACCGCAGACACCTGCGGTCCGGAGTTTTGCAAATATCTCAGCGCCATCGAAGTTATATTTCGTAATATACTCTGCCATTAAAAAGAGTAGGCAGCAAATAAAACAGTTGAGGTTGTGATAAGACCCATTGTTTTTTGAAGTAAGGTTGATCTCCTTTAACTGACCAGTAGCTGTTTCATATGTTGAAGTGTTTAGCGTCTTTTGACGGTTCCTGACATTGATTATCTCCTACAGCAGTTTCATAAAGTTTTAAAGGGTTATAAAGGATAAATACATTTGTTTAAGCATGTGTCCTAAGTTTTTTTGATTCAAAATTGGGCTTAGGACGATTTTTGGCACTGAAGATTTTGTCACGTGGCTACTGCAAGAGAAGTGCAAATTGTCTTGTAGAATCCAGTTTACATCGCAGGCCTTATTACGATATCTTTGCTTTTTGTTCATTTCAGGTGACACTATCGGTCGATTTCTTGTTCATTTCATATTAAGTTTTCTATTATTATGAACAGTTCGTGAAGCATTATTAGTAATTGATTCCTAGGTTAAGTGAACGTCTAATATTTCGAATTATTCTGGTACTCCCAAGTTCGCCTTTCTATTAACATCGGCATTGATTAAGTAAATCTTTCTACTTCTGTTCAGCAAACACGAGGCATAACGGGAAGATTTTGAAGTAGGGGTTACGATCCTCGCGCAGGAATCGAGAACACAAGCGCGCAAAACTGTAGAAGCATTCTGGATTAATTCCAAGAGTCCGAAAATGAACCGCATGGAGGAATGCCTCATTATCACGCGTGATATTGGGCAGTATATAAGCCTGTTAATTTTTATTTTGATGAGATGGGCACAATACGATTCCGTGTGAACTCTATGCAGTTGGTGTCCACGTGACATATTTAGTGAAAGACTCATAGAAAGCGGTGAGTGTGCAAAGACTCTGTGTTCAATGTGGTTGGAATTTTGGTTCGGCGTTTTCTCTGCTTGGTTATGGAGGTGTTTGGCCGTGTAGATTGCAGTCAACTTGACTTTCCAGGCTCTGAGGAACGCGAAATCCGACGAAACGTCAATTTGTACGTAAGTAAAGAAATAAAATAACACCTCGTGTTTACTGAACAGAAGTAGAAAGAGTTATTCTGTTACTGTTTTACCTAGGTCTAGCCCTTCTGTAACCTCTGTAGTTTTAAAATACGAATCTGCAGAATTTGAAATTTTCGAATATTCGTGGTAGATGGCATCTTCTCTTTTTGAAGTCTCATTTTGTCCAGTGTTCTCATCTTCGTCACAAAAAAGCTAAAATACGAGTTAACAGTTGAGCGTTAAGCTGTCTACCGTTGCTTAGTCTCTGAAGGATGCGCCACGCATTCGACTTCATCATGCATTTAGATGTGGTTGAATACATATGTGCCTTGGGCAATGGATTTTAGTGGGCCTATCCATGAATCAGTCAGTGTTGCTGTCTTTTCAGACAAAGTTGGCAACAATTTTCCGTCACCGTAGGAATGGAACACTGCTTGTGACCCTGATGCGGGATTGAACCAGTGATCTCTCTTTGTTGAAAAGCACCTTTAACCACTGTGTTACACCCGCCTTGAGTAATAATCTCTGTGAATAATGAGTTAAAAAGGATAAAGCTCTTGGCGTTGATCAGTCTCTGAGGGATGCACCGTGCATTTGACTTCATTTATCATCGGTAGAGGCGATTTGGTGCATATCTGGCCTACACAATGGCTCACGATGGCCTACCGATGTATCGAGCCAGTACTGCTCTCCTCCAAGACTAGTCTGGTACCAATTTGCCGACCCCAGAGGTATGGAAGACTTGGTGGGTTAGGGGCGCAGGAATCGATCCTGTGTGCAGAGCGCCTTCTATCACTGCGCCACACGCGCCTTAATAATGAGCTAGTGGACGAATTAGCTTGTTTTCTTATTTCCCACTTTCCACATATTTTGCGCTTTATCTTTGTTTGACATATCATTCGTTTATCGTTTAGTCTTTAATCTTTAAAACTTCTTCTCTTACCGTTTTTTATTTCAGGAATACGAGCATTTCATTTTGACATCTAGGTATGGTGTTAATATTTTTGTCACTCCAGGGTAACCTCACGCGTGATCTTGTACGTACCCTGTATCGTCGCGCGGAATCAGAACTACTTTCTACAAACCGTTGGGTTGAAGCTTTACCATTTGCTGTGGTTGAACAAAATCAGCGTCCGTCAAAGTTTTTTGATCCAACACGTACACCTTTCGAGGTTGTTTATATCTTTTATTATGTTTCTTGTACAGATTAAATAGTTTTTTTGCCCTTATGTAATCATTTGATTGTGAGATCTCAAACTCTTTCTTGATTTAGATAATGTTCGGACGCCATGCATGGAGGGACGAGTTATGTCCGCCTTGGGTTAGTCCGAGTAGTACAGGTAATTTATGTCCTACTGGAAGAAAAAACTGAGGATCCGAAAAAGTTGCGAGAAATGGGGCCAAATCAAAGGTTTTTTTTGTAAAATTAGTAGACATCGGGGAAACGAGTGCTATTTAGATCCTTACAAAGCTTTTTAAGTAGTTTAAAGTCTTTTTTCACGTTCCACGCTTTTTGTTTTTCTCTTCAGATGACATGGAAATGGAGCCACCTCGCTTTCGTTCTATTAAAACAGGAAAAGAGAGATATTTGGTTAGTGTCTTATGGTTGTCTTGTAATTATTAGTTAAAGTAGCCTTCATAAATTTGGTATTTAACAAATTCGGGGCAACGCGTACTGATTTCACAGCTAATAGGCTTCAAAATAGTCTGGAGCTCGTGCCCAGAATTTCTTGTCTACTTTTTCTCCTTAGGTGGTAGTATAGACGGCGGAGCGATTTGCGAAGAAGCTTTGGTTGTGCAAGACGCGGTAACGACCACGAAAATATCGTTAATATTTATGGTTCCTGCGAAAATTTTAACAGTTCGATCTTCCTTTTCCCATGTTTGATTTTTGAATGGTAAAATTGTATAAGTTGTTAGCTTCTATCACTGGTATTGTTATGCTATATTCATTATTGTATACCATTTATTATTAGGTTGATAGAATATAATTAATTCATGTATAAGGGTAATTGGAGTAATTGGAATGCGTGTGACGCAGTGGTCGTGGGCGCCCTGCAACACACGTGGAGTCGATCTCCGCGCCCATGGTCCCTACCAAACATGTCTGGTAGGATATAAGCCCTGGCTCGATACATCGGCGGGCCACCGCGAGTTGTTGTAAAGGCCAGATATGCATTCAATCACCTCCAACGATGCTTAACGAAGTCGAATGCATGGCGCATCCCTGAAGGATTGATAAACGTTCAGAGCTTTTTCTTATCCTCTATAAGAATACTTAATGTAATGTATATTAGAATAATAATCTTACATACCTTAAACGACTGCAGAAAATTCTTTTCTGTAAGTTTTCGAAATTTTACACTTTCTCAAATGCTCTACTTATTGAATAATTATCGGCAGTTGGCGAAAAAGCACCGTTGTCGCTAATGTGTTGGTGAAAACAATGTGTAATCCTTATCTGCTCTTCGGCAGCTGTGCCTTTCTTATAACTGATTTCAAGGACAACGGCCAGCCAGACTATGAACCTTCGCCTCTAGATAGTGTTAAGGATTTGAAAATGTACGCCAATTCCTTAGTGGAGAGTCGAAAGAGAGTAAGTTGCCTTCTTTATTAATAGTCATGTTCATCTCGTTAGTCTAATGATTTCAGTTATGTAATTTAATTCGTATTAGTTTTAGATCACCGTAGACAACTAGGAGTTCTAAATTTGATAAAAGAATTGTTAGTTCATAGCGTGGTGATTGAGGACGTGATAAGGTCATGTTCGGCTATGCTGGCAACAGTTTTTGCTTCAGATTAAAACTCAGATGTTGCCTGTTTATGTACCAGTATACAATGAAGATGGAAAGTTGGTCAACCCTGGAACAGGTTATATGTTCGAGGTTTTCGACCGTGTTTACGTAGGTTTTCTCCTTTTCTTCCCTGTCTCCCTGTTTTTTTCTTCCTTTGGCTGTAAGATAAGAAAGATCCATAGGAAATTGGCTTTAAGTAATTTGATTTTAGGTGCGTAACCCACACTTCCAGTTTGATTGTAGATCGTCTAAGCAAAGGCACCACATCGCTCGTTATTATCGCGGCGTTATTGTAGATATAGATTACGATCTTGTGGATTCCATGTATAAGGTGCATTAATGTGAAGGCTGTTATCATTTCTGCATAGTTTCCGCAAGAATAGGATTTAGGTATTGTATTGGGAGGATGACCCACACGATATTGATGCTATGAGCGAAACACAGTGGCCAGCAGCTGATGACAGTAGGTCAATTTTTTACGTAGTGGAAATTCTTGTGTTAAGTATAGTAGACGTTTCCATTTCCACTTTCTATATTTTCTTTAATGTGCAGCATATGACTGTAGTTCATCATGGTTTGGTCCATGGGATGTCGCAGCTTCGACTGCTCACCTAGCGAAGTTACGTGCTGTGCCTGGTTAGCTGCATTTCCTTTATTGGAAGCTGTTCGTTCTGTGTTCCTACATTCCATCGACTTTTTTCTTCGTAATAGATCTGTTATTTTAGTAGAATTCTGCAATGATCATATGATAACCAAACGTAGAACGATTGACATGCGATGTCGATGCGACAGTCCAGGGTGCGTAGGATTTGCGAACATAAATTGCTCAAGAAAGTTTTCTACCGAATGTTGTTTGAGGGTAAATCATCTCTTCTTCTCTTCTCCTCTAGACTGTAGTTGATCGTTTGAAGTTTTAGAGTCCATATGATTGTGCGTATCACAAACGACATGGGCGTTCACAAGTGGAGGTTAGTGTTTGTTTTGTATGTGGCTGTTCGATAGGTAATAAATTGAAAATCGTAGATCTCCAACTACGGAGGATACTAGTCTGTCAAAGTCCTATAATTTTCTTCCTACTAGCGAAAGTATTGATTAATCACTATTTTTATACTCTGAAGTTTCTTATTTGTAACTTAGGTGGATCTATCCATAGCATCTGGTGTTGGTAACCCATCGTCTGGCACATTTCCACATAATAGGACACGGTTCAGAGAAACGTCTGGTTTGCTGGCATATCCAATCAAAACTGATGTCTTTTCCGCACAGTATGATGACTGTTTTCTTTCCTTAGAATTCTTTCGTCATTGCGAAAAAACACTTTTACTGCTTAACTGTCAGTACCAGCAAGAGTTTTGTAGCGCTATTTCCACATTGCACGTGTTTTTGACAGTATCTCGACTCGAAGTAATAAAGTAATTCTTTAAAGTGCTCTACTTCGAGTTCATTTAATTCAAAAGTTAGGCAGTTTTGTGCAATGGTTGTTGTCGAACTGACCAACAAGTTCAAAATTTTAGGGAACGACCATTTTTGAACTCTAATTCAACACACTCAGAGAAAAGATACACATTTCGGTAAGTGAAGTACTTCCACCATGGAATCTGGACACGCTTCGAAAACATGTTTTCTGGATACTTACTACCTTTCAGGGACGGTATACTGGTGGAAATTTCTGGAGGAGATCAAGATGCTCTACCACGGAAGGGGGCACCGCCCGTACTCAGAAAGAGAAGAATATCTGAACCCGAAGAGGTTTCCAAATGTTTTGTCTTCTATCCTATTTATGACAACTATTCTGCTCCTTGTATTTCAATCCAGCTTCTTTCGTTTAGATCATTCTGCCATCAGTTGGTACCCGTGATCGATGGTTTACACAACTACCATCTGAGGAAAGGTTTGAGAATGCGTCCACATCAGACGAGACATGTCTTGTGCGATTTGCTAGTCCTGATGAAGAATCCTTACATTCCACAACGCCAACTCCCACCCCGTCGGCGTGTTACGAAGTCGAAATCAGTCCTGGAGACTCTTCACAGTCTTTCGTATCTGAAGCGATGGCAAGTATTTCAGATGATACGCCGAGGTCGGAACGAGGTGTCCCGCGTTTACGAGATTACGATGCTAATGAAATCGCTTGGGACATCCCTGAAATCTCACTTCGACCAAGAGTTGTCCCCAGACGAGATCATCCGTACGAGAGAAAAGATAGTGTTACGAGAGTTAGTCCAAGTGTAAAGTCGATGGTTATTGCATCAATGACGAAGAGGCTAGGAAAGTCTGCAGTGTCGGAGAAAAGGTCGCACCTAACCAATATAGGATCATCTAAATCACGGCATAGGGATGAAAGTCCAACTTCGGTTTTCTATGGTGAGGACTAGTTAAATTCAGTTATCTACCACCTGGGGTCTATGACATTCTTTGGTGCAATTTTGCTAGAATAAACGTTATGTACCTATCAGTAAAAGTTATGAAAAGCGTTGGGAACTGTCATTTAATTACCGTGTGGACTTGTAGCGTTCTGAAAGGCACGATTGACCTCTAAACAAGCTTTTATGACTTCTCTGTGTATAGATCTAAGGTGCTTTATATAAATTAAAATATTGAGGGGAGTGTAAGTACTCGGAAAACTGCTAAGTTTAATTTAATGTTATGGCACCGGGTAATCTCATAGAGATACGTCGTACCACCTGTTTGATTTAACAGATACGTAGCTAGTTCTTTCAATCCGTTGAGCAAATTTTCTAAAACTGGAGGAATCTTCAAAATCAACGCCCCATTAGATTACTGCAAGGCTGGAGGAACTTCGATTGTTTACGTTATCTGTAGTTACGTTTCGCTGCGACAGTTTTATTTCAATTATTATTTTGACTTTTCAAAACTTAGAGAAATCTCAGGAATTAGAGTGTTACTTCGTCCGCATCTAGTTATTCTTTTTCAAAATGACGGATGAAATTCATGTTTTGCAAAACAAAGCGGATCCAGTTATCACATACTTTCGTCTTATTTGCGGTCTCCTCCCAACGGTTTACCGTCTCATCGTGGCTGGGAGGTGTTCCTGAGTATTGATGTACGATGTACTGCGGGGGATTCGTCCCTCGGCAGAGCTTCCCAAGCTGAAAGGGAGTCCGGCGTTTCCATCAGGAAGCCAGGCTAAGAGTAAACCAATACCAGGATCCACCGCCGTCTTGGTATCAAAGTCGCATGGTGGTAATTCTCCCTTTGATCCACA